TTGTGAAAAGCAAGTTTGCTGATTTTGGCTGCCCTACCCTGCCTGGCAATTATTTGAGGAAATCCATGGCTAAAGTGCCTTCAGATGACTCCAAAATTTTGTACATGTGGAACTGCAACATGTTAGCTTACTATTCCTTTAATATGTTTAGCTGATACATGCATTAAATGGCCTGAATAAACCAGGCTTTTGCATGCTTCTAACATACTGCATACATGTTAGTAAAAAAGAGTTATTCAATAGAACCAAATTAGATCTTGTTATTATAATTAAACTCATGACAGAAGAGTGACCTAAATGGTATGTCCTGTATTACTTTGTTCATGACAAGAAAGAATATGTGCAACAGGAGCTTTACCTTCCATGGAAGAAAATTTGTGGCTTGCAAGAATTTTCATTTAGTGGAGGGGAAAAAAAAAAAAAAAAGCTTTCCTTACCTGTCTTGCAGGATGTATGTACATGTTCCCATATGTTTGTGGATTTGGGAAGGAAGAGGCAGAAGGGGAAAAGGGAGTGAACACCAATACCTCTGATCTAGATCCCTGATAAATGAAATGAAAGGTTTCCAATGTTTACTTTTCCTTTAGACTTCCTTTCTCACTGATGTTACAGCTATGAAATATTGGGAAACTAGTCTCCCAAGATTACAAGTCCTTGTAATCTAAGAGTCTCACTTGTAATCATTTAATGACAGTATTCTTATGGCCTATCTGGCAAGGATGGAGTGCATTGCATTTGCTGCCATCGTACTGTTACTGTATTGTAGTGAAGTGTATCTTGCATACTGCTTCATGTTCAAATGCTGACATTAATTCCTTATAATCCGCAATAAGAATTAATTCCAAGTCTTGACTGAAAAGCTGCTTGCTGTAACACTAGAATCAAAAGGGTGATCTCCATAAAATGAAGGAATTAATATAAATGACTATGTAAATACCTAAGTAAATGACTAGGTTCAAACTTTATTTGAAATATTCCTCCGTTTTTTATTTGAACTTGGAATTTTTCTTGTGTGCTTGTTAAAAGATAGCCAACTCCTCCAAAGATAAATGGAGTCGTCGGTGTGATGGGCAGTCTGCCTCTTACCAAGATGCAAAAAACTCTTGTCCCTTTTAAAGACCACATAGCAGCCTGGACTGTTGAACAGCAGTTGGCTCTGGGAGTAGCCATATGAGAAGAAAATTATTTTAACAGTAGAAGATAACTTCAAAAGTGGGAGGTGGAGAATAAAAATGATTTCATGAGAGTCACAGAGTTGGGTAAGGACTTTGGACAAGTTCAATGACCTGAAGGAGAACTCTTTGGAAAGTGTAGGTCAGGATAGATACAGAAAAGACTTTGCTGTAGTATCTGACTGTTCATGCACTTCAATCCATTGCAAATGCAGGGTAAAATAAATCTATTTCTCAACAAGAAAAAGGTTTGCTTTAAGCTTTACATTGCATCTGTGAAGGGCTGAGAACATATATTGGCTAGCTGGCTACTAGTATGGCAACTATATTGACATGGTTGTCTACTATGATTAAGCGATATTATTTTTTTGACAATAAGATTTCTGGCTTCCCATCGATGAAATTGATGAACTTCTACAATTGATGAAAATCAGTTTACTACATTTAATTGTAGAAATACAAAGGATGTAAGAAGCCACATTAAAGACCTTGGAAGTAACAGGCCAAAGTAAATGCATTCTATTTTAATGCACTCGGGGAGAGGGGCAAAGGGGAAAAAAAAAAAAAAAAGGATTTGACTCCTATTCCAACTGAAAAGTTCCTGAATATTTAGAACTACTGAGCTGACTGGCAGGAAATGATTTCTTGTTCCTTCCCATATGAAGAGAACAAATAGAAGTTGTTGATGCTTGCTGTCCTAAGGATTGTTAATCTTAGTTGGAGGCATCAGACATTACAAGAAGGACTAACATAAGCCAGCTTTGGGAACAGCTCTTGTTCTTTGCTATCACACTTCAACAGAGAAAGCTAAAGCATATGTGTGGTCACAACCAATCTTTGTCAATATCTTGTGAAAGCCTTGGATCGATGATCAAAGCAGAAACCATGCTGCCCTGCAGCATAACCTTTGGTTGAACCTTTCAAATTTTGATTTTAAAAGGTGATATGTTGCATAAAATTGAATTTCCTAGTTCCCTCCTCTCCATTTATTTAAACAATGCAAATTAAAACTCTTCTGGAAGTTTGCTAGTGTCTCACTATTACTATGGGATTTTAATTTACTAATCGGCTCAGCACTGATGCCTTTAACATTTTAACCATGTGGTTTTAAGTTAAATTTTCAGTACTGAGGAATAGTAAACATATTTCAATTCTGTTAAACTATCATTTAATTCAGGACAGCTATGTCCTTTAACTCATTTAATAACTTTTTAAAAACATGGATAGCCTCTTTACTTTGGCGACCATACTCTGTTCCAGAATGCAGAAGTGAAGCCTGTTTGTTCTTTTGTGTTGCTCTTTTTCTTTGATGAATGATTGGGTAGGCATACCTGTTCAGACGCAGTTGGTTCTGGGTGGGGAGGTAATCTGTTGCAATAAATTGATTTGCCATTATAATTACAACAGCATGTAATTGTTATCTTCTTATCTCTTCACATTTATTTGCTCTTCCCTAAGTGCAGTACTTTATATATATGTGTGTGTGTGTATATGTATATATATATTTCAATGCCATCAATGCAGTTTGTCAAGGTCATTTGGAATTTGTATCCTGTCCTCCATGCAACTATGTTCCCTTCTTAGTGTCATCTAGATTTTGCTACTTCACCTTCTATGCCAAGTCATTAATGAGATTATTGACTAGTATTAGAAGCAGGGCAGACCCCATTACCATGTTCTCCCAGTCTGACAGTGAGCTATTGATAAATGCTCTTGGAATATGGATTTCCAACCAGGGCACTCCCACATTATTGTAACCTAATCTAAGCTCCATTTCTCCACTTTGCTTGTAAGAATGTCATGGGAGATTGTCTCAGAGGTCTTTCTTGTAAGTCAGCTACATCATTTCTTTTGCTTTAACTATCCACTGGCGCAGTTATCTTTTGAGAAGAAAAGTAGATGGGCTTAGTAGGATTAATTCTTGACCAATTTGAGTTGTTAAGGTGACTAGTATAGTGTTTCTCTAGCCTTAACCCCTTTGTCTACATTTTCTTATTCCTGTATTTATGGTTTGTATGTGTATGTGACTGGTTCTGCTCAAAAGGAGTTGCCAGAACACCATAAATTTTTAGAAAAAAAAAATGACTTAAATCGTTGTCCAAAGTGTGGTCAGACAAGCTCCAGTATGGTGCTGCGTGGTGGTCGACCAGAAATGGGTACCAATTTATGAAAACCGATCTTGTGTTATGAAATACTTTAGCAATGGCTATTATAAGACTGGTATGATGGTACTGACTGGCTGAATCTCTGTATGATATGGGCATCATCTTTTATCCTCAGACTCTCTTATAGCTTAGTTTTTAAGTGCAGAAATACTTTTGTGGGGGGCAAATTATCTCTAATATAAAACCCATGATAACATTGTTCTGGTGAGCTTTGCCTTGAATCTAGTTTCAGGTCTGAAGTGTCTTTGAGTTGTAACAGTGTAAGACAATGTCTGCAATAATGTATGGGCTGTGTCTGGCTTCCAGGAGGGTACTTGGCGTGTATTGCTGTTATAAGCTAGTATCTACTGGGTATGAATATTAGCAGGAGTTGGGGAGAAAGATTTTGTCTAAGAGCTAATTGATGAAGAGCCTTCAGAAGCATCCCTGGAGGGCAGCAGACTATTTCAATAGCTTGGGAAGCCACACAGTGCTGAAAAGACTTTGTGATTTTCTTATGAGTGGGATTTTGAGAATATAAATTAATTTATTAGTTAAATGATAACCATTTACCTACAGTGCAAGTTCAAATGGTAGACTGTAATAAATGCATGACTCTGAAAGTAGCCCTTTGTCTTCTCAGTTTTCATCCATTTTCTA